ACTGAAGTTGATGGTGAGAGGTCCCCTTTGGCAGAGCCACGCTAAGCTTAGCACTCTGTTCAGGGCCCTCGCTTTCTTCCACCAAGTAAACACGCAATGTCTATTTACATAAACAGTTGTTTCTTTTTTGTGGGGGGCTGTTTTTCCTTCCAAACCGCCTGAAAGCCCAACACCACCGCTTAAGTCATTCACAACAATGGCAGCGGGGATAGCAGACAAATTCATGAATTTTTCACCATATGAGAACTAATTAAATTGAGGCCTTTTTGAAATGAATATAGTGTGAGGTACTCACTAGCCCTACGCACACAAAGAGGCTATAATTCAGTGATTGAATTCTGGCTTGATAGCATTCAGTCTTTTACTATAGTGAGCTATACAGATGGCTGGGGTCCTTTTCATTCTTTTCTTTCTTAATGGCAAATCTCATTATGGCAGTTATCACTGTATGGAGAACAAGACGGGAACGATGGGCCACGAAGCTACACGGTGGAGGAATTTGGTACCTGTCTGCTGTTGAACATGATACTTAACTGTTAGGTCACTTAATGATGAGCATTTCAAATCAGAAATTGAAATTCATTAACAATATATGCAAAATATGTATTGTTAAAGCACATATGAACTGCTGTTAGACTTTTGTCCTTAATCATGTCAATAGGACATAAAAGCTAACACAGGTTATATCTACTGACCCTGAAGCAAAATTCAACATGTGCTTTTGTTTTTAGAGAATGATATTGCTGTCATACTAAATGAAAGCTGGCAGCAGGGCAACATAAATACCCCATTAGGCTCCAGGCACACAATCTCAGAGACCAGTTAGTAACCATCTTGCAACCACTTGCTGGCAGTTGCTGTGAAATTGATTTTTAAACACCCAGTCAAACCAGCCCAAAGACCTGTCAAGTGACACCCTGGCATCTGCTGGTTGCTAGGGAAAAGTCACTGATTGTGGGATGTGTCTGCAAACACTTACCACGTGCCAAGTGGTAGTGAAAATGTGACGAGAGCAATACAAACTGTAAACAGATTTGGTTTGCCTTCAAAGTCAAAGTTGCACCTTTTGAACTGTGTTGGTTGCAGCAGTAAAGTACAGCTTTTATTTTGAAGGTGAATGTTCTCTGCTTCTGGTGTGTGTCAAATTTCCAAGTTTCACTACAACATGGAGAATAAACTGCAGAATGTTTGCAGACAAGTCGGCACCTTTCATGCAACTGCAGCAGTCTGTTTTCAACCTAAGCAATCACAAGGAGGTTTTTAGGATGGCACTGTTTTTGCAACTCATCCAGTAACTGTTTACTGTTTGAGTTTGATACACTTTTTCCCCTAGCAACCATGTGTGACTGGGGTCATATACATATACAGAGGCAGTCCTGATGTTTCAGCATTTTCAGTCTTCATGCTAGCTTAAAACAATCTTGGCTTTAGTCTCAGAATGGACAGGCAAAGGAGTATTTTTGAGCTTCTTATCTCACCCTCAGCAAGAAAAGTAAATAAGCCAACAATACTTTACATATACTTCTCTATGACTCTCAGATCCAACTGATCTTTCCCCCTCTGAAGATGTAAATCTTTAAAGATGTAATTCAACAATTCAGTTTACTGCAAACGTTACACGAAACGGGGTAAATAGTGAATTTGTTGGGGACTATTTTCAGTGGTGGACTAATCTGGATTTGGTGCTTTAGTGAGTATTTTTCAGCAGCAGGAAGGTGTATGCAGAGTACCCAAAATATACTATAGAGTATGTTTATTGTAATGAAGGAACAGTGTGGCTCACTGATGTATTTTTAATGGAGCACAGTGGAGCTCTGTGGCACAGAGGAATGAAGCCCTCGCTAGCAGCGTTAATTCATTGTTAGCTTTGCTGTTTGTGGGATTTGTTATTAGTGTGCAAATTTCACCTTCAGCAAAGTTTGGGTGAAATTTATGGAGAAAATTAAGAAGATTCCACAACATCTGTTGTGGAACAGTTCAGCGACATAAACTGAACCCCAGATGTAAACACGTTCCTCTATTAGTTCAACACGCGTTATCTTTCCACATTAATGTCAGTTTGAGATTAATAAAATCACTTGATAAAAACACTACTGACTGAGTTCCTCAGTCAGTAGTGTTTTTTTATCCTCCCCTGCTCTCTGCACCTCATTCCTGCTGTCATGATTAAGACTGTTCTTTTCCCGTCCATTTGAAAATGTTTAAGATAAATTAATCATATGAAGCCTCTCACATGACATAACCTCTTTCAAAGTATAATTTTACTTTCTGAATTGTTCACTCTGTTACACTTAAATCTAATAAGTCATGACTTAGACAAGTCTTGGAATAAAAAACAAGCTGTTGCTGTCATGGCCCAGCAGTTTCTATCTAAAGTAAACTCTGAGGACCGAGCCTGTGATAAGCGAACACCACATCACCCTGTGGCGTTAATGATCGTCCGCTGTTACAACACAAAGTCAGTCAAGTAGCAGATAGAGCACAGAAATAATTTAAGCAGTGCTAAGTGGTCTATTGTCATTCAAATGATAAATTATGCTTGGCAGAGGTTTTAAAGTCACTTTTACAAAGCGTTGCTATTGTTTGTGTCGAGACAAGGTTTTAACGAGTCGGAATAAAGGGAATTACTTGGGAGAGTTTGGAGTTCCTTGGGGTTTGGACGCAAATTGGTTCCCTGCTCATCGGGCCTGCCCGGACTGTTAGACAAGCCTCCAACATGACAACACTGGTGCTCATAAAACACTGCACCGATGAGACAACAGTGCATAAATGAGGATCTGGAGTCAACATGACAGCTCGGGTTAGTCTTAAAGCTAGAGGTGACGAAAAGTTAAGGTGGAATTTGCCATAATGGGGGGGGAAATGATTATTTTCACTAAAATGCACAGTGTACATTTTAGGCTATACTTGCAGTATTTTGTGAGCCATAACTCAGCTGTTATTAGCATCAGTTTTTAGATTACTATAATGGATATCTAATACAAGGAAGTAATTATACCGCTTTTTTTTAGTTCTACCACCAAACTGCTGTTTTACATGTTTAACAGTAAAGAGCTCTTCTAAAATATGTCACTACTAAACTAATCTATATTATGCTGTTCTGGTTTATTGTTGGCTATGCTAGATTGCTATATGTCATGTTATATGCTATACTATGCGGTAATTTTACTACTGTATATGCTATGCATAAATGCTACCTACTAACGTCATTAGTTACACCATGCTAGTACCATGCTGGACTCCTCACAACTGCCTAATTTCTTTGTGGCATAGATTCAGCTAGGTGCTGGTAACCTAACTTAGAGATTTTGGTCCAAATTGACATGATAGCATCCTGCAGTTGCTGCCAGATGATTTGAACCTCCACCACATCCCAAACATGCTGTGACTGAGTACAGTGACAGTGAGCACAATGAACTCATTGTCATGTTCAAAAAAACCAGATTGAGATCATTTGAGTTTTGTGACATAGCACGTTATTCTGCTGGCATCCATCAGAAGATGGGTACTCTGTGGTCATAAAGGGATGCACATGGTCAGATAGGCTGTGGTGCTTAAGTGATGCTCAGTTGGTACTTAGGGGCCCAAAGTATGCCAAGAAAACATCCCCCACATCACCAGCAGCCTGAACCTTTGATACAAGGAATGATGGATCCACACTTTCATTTTGTTTATGTCGAATTTGAGACTCATCAGATCAGGGAACATTTTTCCAATTTGCTATTGTACAGGATTGATGACCCATCTGAATTGTAGCTTCAGTTTCTTGTTTTTAGCTGACAGGAGTGGCCTTTACTACTGTAGCCTACGAACTGTAGAGAAAAGGAATGGTTATTCAAGTTACTGTTACTTCCTTTCAGCTCAAAACAGTCTGTCCATTGTCCTCTGACACCAACGAGGCATTTCTGTCTAGAGAGCTTCCACTCGCTGGATGTTGTCTCTTTCTCAGGCCATTATCAGTACACCCTAAAGACGGTTCATAGTAGATCAACAGCTTCTGAAATACTAATTTTTAACTCTCATTCTGACGCTCAGTTTGAAAATCAGCAGGCCGTCTTGACCACGTGTACAGGCCTAAATGGATTGAGTTGCTGCACAGTGATTGGCTGATTTCATTAATGGATAGTTTAACAGGTGTACCTAATAAAGTCAGTGAATGTATGCCAGGGGTGTCAAACTCACTGTAATTCATGGGCCACATATATGTAGAATCCAATTCAACCACACATAGGCGGGACCATATATATATATATATATATATATATATTTATTTATTTTTAAACAAAAACAAAAAAGCGTTATTTCCATTCTTTTGGTGTAAAACGTTCACATGACTTCTGTGTATAAGGGTTAACTCAGTATGAAGGGATTGCTGCTGTCTTGTGTTACTACAGTGTTACCAGTGTTAATTGATCACTAACAAGTTCAGAGTAGTTTAGTAGTCCTCTAATCAAGCCTATGTTTGTAATTACCTGCTGTACTGTAGGTGCGTGTTCTTCATATAGGAACTCAGTAATAAATTACCACACAAACTGGAGCTAGTGAGGCCTTTCCTGAGACAAATCAAGGTAACGTTAATTACACCATTAAATTCATTTTCTCAGTGTAAATCCCCTCTGGCTGCTTTAGATCATGCTGTATCCTTTGTTAGGTCAGTGCAAGTTATACATTAAAGGCCAATTTATACACAATGACTGAAGGGGGAGTGTTGAATCACCACATGCTCACTGTTAAAATCAGACTACAATAAAAGCTTTTAACAGGTCAATATATCTGTATATGTTGCATGACATAACCTAACTGGTCAAAAACATAATTTCCTCCCCATTTTTCCAGGTACTTGTTCTGCTTAAGATGTCATTACCTCTGTTGGGACTGTTAAATGGTTCCATAAAGAAAAATGAAATATTCATTAACTTGGTTAATAATTCATTCAGATAAAATGCAATATGTGGTTTGCAGAATGAAGATGAATACGTAATGAGTGCATGCTCAGCATATTTGTGCGTGGGAATGTTTTTATTTCGCGATAGCAAAGGGAGAAAATTAATTGAAAGTTCACTTTCATTCTTTTGTTCTACAAGTCAGGCTAAATGATAAAATAGATGCTTTCGAAGCAGTTTTGAACTAAGAAACAATTAAGAGGGTGTATATGTAACCCACATAATATAGAATAGTTTTTAATTAGTGCAGAGTAAGTGCATTTAAACAGTTTTTATAAATCATAACTGTTAGCCTGACCTAATTCACACACTTTGAGAGAACTGTGCAGAGAACTTTGTTCTTTGCTGCCTGAAAATCGGAACCATAACCTCTGCTTATCACGTGACACGAGCCTGCAGAATGAAACAGCGCATTGATAATTTCATGAAAAGTTTGGTCACAGCTGAAAATTTTCCAGTCGCTACTCCAGATGTCACATCCAGCCTCCTTACTCTCCCGTCCACAAACAGCGGTTAAGTGTGTGCACGCTGCCTCGGTTAACAGGAGAGTGGTGAAGTGTTCCCACGCCGCCTCACTGCAGTGTAAACACCGCTCATCCAAACACTGTCAAACTAATTTCCTCACACCACAGAGGTTCATTTTGGCTTTCGGATGAATCAATTCTTCCTCTAATTATCAATTGTGACACCCATAATCACTCTAAGAGTGTAGCGCTGAATAAATGGCATGTCTTTTGTGTTATAATTCTGTGCATCTTGACAAACATGACCCATTAAACAACCCTGTGGCCTTTTTCGAGAGCGACGATTACACTAATTAAAACTGCAAAACATCTGAGAGGGCTGCCGACGTGCCAGAATTAAGCAGGTCATTAAATCAGCCAAGGAATATGTCAACATCCACGCTGTCTGTCACTCCCACTGTGTTACTTTGGGAATAAGGTGTTGGGGAAAGGGGGGGCTTGTGTGCAAGAATACAATCATAACTGACGTGATATCAAATATAAAACCTGACACGTTACAGCTCTTCTGCTTTGGCTCAAGGCACAAAACAAAATAGGACATGAGGCACTAATAAACTAAAAAACAAAACACATCACACTTTGATAATAAAGATGTAAAACTCTTGGTTTGTTTGGTTTTTTTCCTTTTATGAAATGCCAAAGTGGTGTTTTGGCTCTCAGCTCCACTCCGTTTGGAAACTAATGGTTTCCAAATGGAGCTGAACTTTAAAAAAAATAAAAAATGTGTGAAACAAATCCCCCCAAAAACCGCTGCAGCTAAAATTTGATGTGAAAACAATTAACAACACACAAACAAAGCCGCCTTCCTCTGAGCTACACCGCGCTCTAGGTGTGAAGTGTTTTTCAGCGTGGCTAGCCTTTATCAGCAGCATCTCGGAGATCTCTCCTCCGAGTTAATCCTCTTCCAGCCGGCGATAGCAGCAAGCGATAGCGCCAATGTCTTGTTACCAGCAACATATGTTCCCTTTCATACAACAGCAGCTTTCCAACCATTTAATGGGATTGTTGTTGTTGAGGGTTTTTTTTTCTTTTCTTTCAAAGCCGGCTTTACACAACAGTTTTCCTAGAAGTGGTTCGATATGTGCCCAAGGGGCTAAGATTGGCCTCCAGTAAGAGACTACTGAAAACACCTCAACATGATGGGAAAGTGGATTTTCCAGCTTAAAAGCAGACTCATCTCTGCTCAGGGCATTATGCTGCGTTCAAAGAGATTAATAAGTGAGATGCTATTGATACGTCGCTGCGCTGCTCTTGGATCAGCACTGGTCATGTTCACTGACATCAACTAGTTTTAAAATAAGGCTACATGGATACAAGTCCACGTACTGTGATGGTTTTTTGTTCTATAATCCTGTAGCAGCAAAAAAGGAGGCCGGTTTTCTTGGAGCGCTCTTATCTCTGGAAAGTTCTGCAATGTTTGTGAAATACGCAATAATCAGACCTGCATCCAGTAATTCCCTGTAATAAATGTCTTGCGCTTAAGCACTTATCCAAAAACTTTCAAAGGCCATACATTTTTTTTTGCTTCCTTCCTAATTCTGCTGCCGTTAATGAAGCATCTCTGATGTTTCCTCACTCTTCAGTCAAGATATATTTTTCATAGCATTCATCAAAGTGAAGAAATCCCATGTTGTACTTTGATGTGCTTAACACAGTTTTAACTTGTGTCTCATTACAGAGATAATTAATAGTTTAATTAGCACCAATTCCCGCCAACTGACAGCTTCTCTGACACAGTCACGTGACATGAGAGGATACAAAACAGTTGCCTGTTTTTTTAAAGTTCACCAAGTTCTCTCGAGCTCATATTTGGTTTTCTTTAGCTCAGGTGTTTTGCGTCATAATGACCTAAAAACTTTTATTGCTGATGTTTTGTTAAATTTACTCCATACCGATGCAGTGAGCCTATGAGAACGCGCCTCACCAGGGGACAAAGTGCTCAAATATGTGAAATGCAAACAACTTAGGTGGATTAATTTTTAATTCTCATTACCTTGAAGCAAAGCAGTCTTTTTTTTTCTTTTAAAGTGGTTTGGTTAAAAAAAAAAATAAAAAAAAATCAAGCTTTATGACTAAAAGTAATTATCTTTCTTCAGCTTTTTATTGTGCTTGCTGGTTGCAATTAACACTTCCTGGAATCTGAATGAGCATTTCAGAAGTGTTGAGTAGCTGCGGAGGCAAGCGCTGCAGATCAAAAAAAAAAAAAAAAACAGAAGAAGAAAAAAGATCAAAGTAAGAGGGAGAGGAACGGTTTTTAGACGAGTTTACAGATGCTGAAGACAGCTCATCACACAATGAGCAGTGAGTGTATGCTTCGAGAAACAGCGTGCGCCTCTTGTTCAGGCTCCGAAACAATAGCGAGTCTCCCAGCATGGGCGAGGGCCAGCAGCAAAGCCTCTGCTTCGAACTTCCAGTTTACGACTGCTCACAACAGTTTACAGCAGCCAAATTTCATTTTCTACTCCCAAATCCTATCGCACATTATCCTGTACATTGCATTAGAGCTCTAATCTTTCCTTTCTCTTCCTCAGAAGAAGAAAAGAGCGCCTTCATGATTAACCCACTTTACAGCAATAAATAAACGCATCATCCAGTAATGTACACCAGATTTAATTTGAAGGGGGGGGCAGAACGCTCAAATCACTGAAATGTAATGAAAAATAACACAATGCAGACACCAGTGGGTGCCTTAGGAATTAATTTGAATGCTCCATCATTTTTTCCTCCTTTTTACTCTTTGGATTGGGTTTTTTTTTCATCTCAGCCAACTGCTGACTTTTCTCCTCTCCCATGCTGCTGCTGTAAAATCTTCAAAATATACAAAAAATTATAAGAAGAAACATGATTAGTCTGCCACACACACACACACACATATATATATATGTATATATATACACACACACACACACACACACACACACACACACACATAAAGTCTTGTTCTTCTTCCTCCGTGTTTTTCACATGTAGCCCATGTTGCTTTTGGTTTCCCACCGCCTCTTCGCCTCAAAGCTGCAAAACAGAAAAAACAAAACTTTGAAGCTCTTATGAATACATTTTAGCCATCAACTTCAATCACACTAGCTAATTCAGGCTTCGGCAGCTCTATCTTAACTGTACTTGAACCCAGAGTGGTCGCGCATGGCAGAAATGATGGCAAGCATAAACATGAGACCAGAGACAGACGTCATACCCCCAGGCTATTTGCTTCTTCCTTTTCTGCGCTGCCCTCAAAGCTTCCTCTTCCTGTTTGCCTTGCACAAAGTCACGGCAATCAGCAGCTTGAGCGATTTTCACGGCCATCTATTTGGAGGCAGACAGAGGAGAGGCTCATTAGAGAATGAAAATCAGTCTGTGGCAAGAAAAAAGCCCCTTCTGACTGATGTGTGAGGGTGGCTTCTTGTCGAAGTCTCTGCTGCCTGCGATGCCTCCTCCACACCACAGCAAAACTGTCATTAAACCAAACGACACGTGAATGCCGTACAATCCTGCAGTCTAGCAAGTCTGGCGATATGTGACGTCAGGACTGAGTGCAACATATTTGACAGAATGTGACCACGAAAGCCTACATTATATATTTCATTCAGTAGGAATAAATGCTATTTTACATGTATGCAACAATAATTCTGCAGCAAACACCTGCTTATTTCTATGAATGAGATGTACAATATCTTACAAGTCATGAAGCATTTAAAAGAAAAAAAAGAAAAAAATGAAGTCAATATGTGAGCAGCTCTTTTTAAAAGGTACATGGCAGATGGGTTGCCCCATCATAATGGAGAAAATCTGCTTCAACGTGTTCTGTTTTTATATATTATCCCAAAGCCTGCGTAGTCAGGTCTGTAGCAGGACTCGATGTTCCTGTTTTTACTGAGGATTTGAACCCTCCTTGATGTATCTGAGCAGCTAAAGCTTCTTACACACTTTCTAAATGGATGCTAAACTTGGAAGTAGGGACAACACCTGCTTAGATTACAAAGAAAAGTGGAAAAAATATCAATATCTGCTTGTTTTCTTTGTATTTTGTCAAAGAGTAGCGAATAAAGTCACTCGGCTCTCTCACATTTTAGATGATAGATTAAATGTGACATTTTTTCTTCGAGGACGGCAAAGAATTTTTAGATGTTGTAGAGAACTAAAAGCTGAATATTATGCACAGGTCTCTACAAATATTAACAAAAAGTGTAGTTTTATTTTTTTGAACATGAGCACTGTTTCAATAAAATTCTCATCACTATATATTTGATGTATTTTAAGAGCTGTGTTTTTCAGCTTAGAGTTTACAGTCTTTCCCCCTCCATCCTCTCAATGCTGTTTCTTTTAGATCCTTTTTTTAAATGTGCAAATGAAATACTAAACAAACAATGACAGACGATGTCAGCTGTGCTGCCTCCCCCCCTCCACTTCAAAAATGTTGCAAAGGCGTTTTCCACTCGTCTCCAATTGTAAAAGAGACTTTTTTTTTGGAGCAATGCAGGCAGTCCCTGAAATCAGAAGTGAAGAGAATGACCGTGACTGTAAGAGGCAAACATTCAAATCCCAGGGAAGGCATATGTGTGTATTGTGAAGCAGAATAATCCCAATAACCCCAGTCACACAGAAGCACAGGAAACAAAGGGAAAAATCCTGCCCCCTCTTTCACTCCTGAGATAGGTTTATTATTCAAGCAAAGGCAAACTTTGATAAACAACTTGGAACAATTTCACCAAACCTTTGGGTAATTCTTTGTAATATTCAGAGTACAATCAAGGGGGAAAGAAAGTCTTAAGGTAATGAAGAAATGTGCCACCACTGCGCCACTTGGAGAAAAAAAAGACCTGCTGGAAAAAAATGTTTCAATTATAATTAAGTGGGATAAACTTTATTAGAAAGACTGAAACTAAAATATCTCCTAATGCATGCTGGGATTAAGCAGGTCAGAGCGAGCAGGCAGGAAAAATTAAACTCTAAAGGCTTTTTATCACCATATTTCAGGAACCAAGGGTGTAAAATGTTCTAATTTGGGATACATTAAAAGCCATAAAGGTCTTTCAAAAAGATTAATGGTACTTTGCTTGGATTTAAGATAAGAGCTCCGGCTGGCTGCAAGTACTGGGCTCCGGCTGGGCCCTCAAGGCATTCATCTATACAGTCACTGGAAGATTTGTGAGAGCGTCTGCATAACCTGAAGCGTACATACTATGACAGTTCTCCAGTTCTTTGCCATTTTTATAGGTTTTAAATTCCTCAAATCATGTTTTCTCCTCTTTTCTCCTCCCCTCTCCTCTTTAAGAGAGTTATAACAAGGAGGGGGGACGGTTGCTCAAACATTTGCAGTAGATTTGCGAGCAGATAAAACCACTTCAGGGTGTTCCCTGCTTCTTGGCAGAGCAGCGTAGGTGCTAAATGCTTCTGAGTGGCTCTGATGCATGCTGAGATTATAAACCACACATTTATTAAATTGTTGACAAATCTGAGAACAGCTCTTGCTCTCTGTGTTTGTAAAGGAAAAAAAAAGAAAGAAAGCCACACTGGCTCATTCTGGGAGCAAATCAAACGAAACTGCATGATGCTAAATGGTTTAATTTGGAGATTTACTGACAGAGCTTTTTCTTTTTGCCTACACGAGGATTACCCACATTAACCTGCTCTCCTGTGGGGTTGCATTTGAAATGCAAAAGGTCTTGAAAACACGCCTTCCTGAACATTCCAAAAGCAAAATTAAAACCCACTTCCATGGCCCTCATTTCCCCCTCTTTTAAATTCACAACACAGCTTTTACTACATTTAAAGCATTAAAGGTCTTTAATATTTTCCCTGTTTCTTTTTTTATATCTGTTTAGTCTACACTCCCTGATTGTCTTTGCTGGGGCTCAACATTAATGTCAACCAAGTTACCTAGGAGACAGAACAGATCAAAGAGACAAAAAAAACCCCCTCAAATGTCTGATTAATCAAGCCTGCAAACAGCTTATTTCTTTTAGCCTGCATGCAAGTATGAAAATGAGATTCCGAGAGCAGTACATTGTGCAGATTTGTTCATTCTTATCTGAACAAAGCCAGCGGCAGCTTATTTCATGGATCACTGGCACTGTCAGCGCTGTGGCGCCGAGCAGGTGACGGCTCCTCTTTCTGTGGCGAGAACAAAATTAGCAAAAAGTCGGCACAAATTAGCCTCTCATATTTTCAGTAATATGACATTATTTTTCATTTACTTTTTTGATCCACTTTTCAGGATTTTTTCCTCCCCCCTCCCCTTGCGTGCATCTTAGTGCCAAATCCTTTCACATCACAGGCTGGGGAAAAATAAGAATGGAAGTACAAAGCGGGAATAAAGGCAGGAGACAGGAAAACCTCCTGCATTCTTTGTTTATGTGGCTCCTAAAAGGCAATTCTTCCCACTCCACCACATATTAATGTACAATTAAATGTCCATCACATGCATGTTTCCCGTGCCTCGTTTCTCTCTCCCTCTCTCTCCTGTGTGGCCTGTGTGCAGCCCTGCTAAAAACAAGGTTTATTCAGAGGATTAATTCTCTGACCTTTGGAAGATTTGAAGGCAAAAAATTCAGCCTGCACAATGCTGGCACTGCAGCAGCAGCAGCAGCAGCTTAAGGCCACTAGGAGGGTTAAGTCAATAGTGCCGTTTTCTGTTCATCCATGTTTGGGTCGTCATGGAGATTCAAGCAGAGACCCAAACATGGGGCCTTGATACAAAAAATAAATACGTCAAAATTTGCATTGCGTGTGTGGAAATCACGCACAAAGTTGCTCATAATAACGCTTTCACACTTTGTTTTCATTTGTGTGTCTGTTTTACGCTGCGTCCCTCCTTTTGTAGCACAGGGATCATAAAAACACTGTGGCAATTAACCAGCCAGTGCAAAAAGACAATAGCTGAATGGGAGATGAGAAAAATACGTCTCCATGTGGATAAAGTGTTAAAGCTCCTATTAACAATATGAAATAAATGATGGCTTTAAGGAAGAAATGGCCTTAAATCCATTCATAAATTTCCTATCCAGGAAGCCTCTTCCAATTAAAACGTGTGAGAGGTGGATTAACAAGGGCTATATGGCTTTGCCTCACTAAATCACCTCCCCGAGCTGCTCTGCTGCATTTGACGTGTAAACGATTAATGACCAGCCTAATTCCCTTATCACACTACCTTAATGCCTAAATAATGTGGCCTTAGTCAACTTTGGAAAGCAGGGCTATATAAGAAAGGAATGAATATCAGATTAGGCAGCTTGTGTGTTATTTCAGCATAATTTCTTAGGACTGAGGTGGAAGGGGGAAGAAATACGTGTCTCTGGCTTCTTAGCCTCAGCGTTGCAGCAGGACAGGGAAGGTCAAAAGATCGAGGGGTCAATCAGCACCACCCATATCGTATTCAAAAGAAAAGATTTTACGAGATTTTATTTAGTTAGTCCGTTATTTAAATCTCCAAGGTGAAACAATAGGTTGAGGTAAAATAAAAAATCCGACCCTAGAATCAGAGGTGCTCTCTTGCTGCTGTTTTTATTATCAAGTCGTCTACAGATTATTTACATGATTCACAGTAAGTCTAACTTGTACTAGGCCTTTGGAGGGCCAGGTCAACACCCAATGATAGTCAGTTTATTGTTACAGAACACAAAGGAAAAGATACTGTCATTATTTCTGAAAACGACTCAAAGTGATACAAATGACTTACACAAACTAAGATTTTTTTTTCCAATATAAGAAATCAAATGTTACATAAGGAAATATAGCTATTTATTATTAAAGATGCATCGAGTCTTTGCTCTACAGCTGCACTTTGTTAAAAAGGATACATTTGTTCATACCTGCTGGTTTGACTCCTGAAACAAATGATTATTTTGTTGATGTAAAAGACTGTTTTGTCCATCACTTGTCTTCAAATTGATTTCGTCCAACATAAAGCCAAAGGGCTGCTAATTGTACATACTGCTGAGCAGTTTAATCTATCAATACATTAGATTTTATAAAAAGAAGTAGTGCAATGTGGAATTAGTTATCACCAATAAAAGATCTTTTGGCCATTTTTTGTTATTTGGGGTTTTCATTTACTTAGTTCAGAAAAACTCTGCGGTGAAGCCAGACTATAAAGTTGAAGGAAATTAAAATAATAGAGTAAAATATCTAATTTTTTTAATGTAAGCAGAATATGTTGTTACTGTTTTCCAATAGCAAACAAAGTAATTATGTAATGGACAAACTGCCATAGCTTTTCTTAGGAGCTTAACAGTGATCGTAGAAAAGGTAAATCACTGATTGTCAATGTCTAATAATGAAGGATAAACAATTACAATGTGTCACTG